ATAATCTCATTACTTCTGATACAAAAATAATATACTATATATTTAAAATAATATATATAAAAATTTTAAAATTAATTTATTTTTTTTAAAATAATAAATAATAATTCTTATATTTTTAGCTATTAAATTTAAAAATTGCAAGTCAATATAACTGCTTGATAGCAAAATCAATTAATTTAAATAATTTATTTAAAAATTATAAAATAACTAATTTTTATATTAATTATATTTACTACAAAGTAAACTTTCTTAAAAAGCATTATCATAAAACAATATTATGCAAGTGTTTAGTTCTATATTAACTAAAATTATTTGACTATAAACATTGCATATTTATTTACATAATTACTATATATTGTCATAAATCTTATATGTATCAATTTCTTAATTTAGCAAAGATCATTTACAAAATAATTAAATTAAAGTTTATAATTAAAAAAAACATATTTATACTAAACAAATTAACAAAAGAACATTAAACAAACTTGTTAGTGATATCTTATTATATCTACTCTTAAATTTTTATAAAAATTAAATGAAATTTTATTAATTTTTTAGCTTATTTAATTTTAAAAAAAATTTTTTTTAGAAACTTTTTTGATCTTCTGTTAAGGTTTAAACAATCAACTATTTAGTAAAGTTTTTTACAATTTCTATAAAAATTTTAGAGTAGGTAGCATTAGATACTGCAAACATATTTACTTAATGCACTTTGGTTGATTTACCTAGTATAAAATCATGTTTTTAAAAATACAAAACTATTATATTAAAGATCTAAATTTTGTTAATTTAAAAAAAAATATTCAAATATTGTTTATAAATTTGCTATATATAAAACATGTTTTTTACTAAGTAACTCATTTAAAAAGCATTAAATAAACTTGTTCACAATAAATCATTCTATTTATAATTAAATTTTCACAATTTTTGAGTAAAATTTTATTGGTTATTTAGTTAATAAACATTTATAAATTTTTTTAAAAAATATTAAATTTTAGTAAAAATTTAAAAAATTATCTAATTCATAAAATTTTTCTTAATTTCTATAAAAATTTGAAAGTAGGTACAGTTAATTACTACAAACACATTTATTTAATGCACCTTGGTTAATTTACCTAGTATAAAAATGTATTTTTAAATATAAAAAAAACCTTAATATTAAAGAAATAAATTTATTAAAATTTAAAAATTGTTTAGATATTGTTTATAAATACTATATATAAAAATATGTTTTTTACTAAGTAAATTGACCAAGATGCATTAAGTAAACTTGTTTGTGATAAGAAAATTAAGTGAAATTTATTAATTATTTAGTCTATTAAATGTTTATAATATTTTTTTTTAGTAAAACTAATTTAATTATTTATTGGCATTTAGATAGCTAATCTATTAATAAATTTTTTTCTGATTTTTATAAAAATTTTATATTAAATAGAATTTATTACTGCAAACATGTTTACTTAATACATTTCAATCAATTTACTTAGTATAAAATCTGGTTTAAATATAAATAAAAAAAAAATAAAAATCAAACTATGCATCAAATTTAAAAAATACTAGACATATTCAAAATTTGTAGCTTATAAAAACAATTGTTTTACTATGCAAATCGATTAAAATGCATTAAGTAAACTTGATTGCAATAATTTATTTCACTTATACTAAAAGTTTTGTAAAGATTGAGCAAAATTTCATTAATTATTTAGCTAATTAAATATTTGTAAAAAAATTTTTTTAAAAAATATTTTTTGATCTTCTATTAGCATTTAAATAGCTAAACCAATTAATAAAATTTCTTCTAATTTTTATTATTCTTTTATATTATATAGAATTTGTACTGCAAACATGTTTACTTAATGCACTTTGATCGATTTACTTAGTATAAAATTGTATTTAAATACAAAATAATAAATAAAATTAAACTTATTATTGAATTTAAAAGTATTTAAAATTATTTATAAATTTACTATATATAAAAACATAATTTTTTGTTAAATAAATCGATTAAAATACATTAAGTAAACTTGTTCATAACAATAAACTCTGCATATAATTATATTTTTACAAAAATATAGTAAAATTTGCTAACTAGTTTGATTATTTGAACTTAGTTAAAAATAAATATATTAAAAGCTTATTAACAATATTTAAATAGCTAAATCAATTAGTAAGATTTCACTCAATTCTTACAAAATATTTAAAATAGTAGAATTTATTTCTGCAAATAAGTTTACTTATTGCACTTTAATTGGTTTACTTGTAAAATATCATATTAGTATTAGTATCTATATATTAGTATAAATACTTATAATAATAATATTTGACTTTAAGAATATTATTGGTATTATTAACATGAATAATATCAATAATAAGTGATATATTTACAAATTATTATGTATTATTATTATTTATTAATATGTAAAAACAGTAAATCATTCAATAATAAAGACAATTTTTTACTATTATATAAAATAAATATAAATTAGTTACTTTATTATAATTTTAAATTATATAAATAATAAATAAATAAATAAATATTTCATACATAGTTATATTATGAGTAGAACAAATTTAATTAATATCAGTGGATATACATATCCTACCCCTCAACCCCCCTGCACTTCAATTTAAATACTTGTATAGGATGTGACCAATTGTAGGTGATAAATAAGCATTAGCTATATGTTTTATATAGCCAATACTTATTTATTACACCTATAATTGGTCACACCCTATACAAGTATTACTTGTATAGGGTGTGACCAATTGTGGGTGATGAATAAGCATTAGCTATATGTTTTATATAGCCAATACTTATTTATCACAACCATAATTGGTCACACCCTATACAATTTGCAAGTTTCTAACTATATACAACTCGGTGAACAGTTTTTATTAGATCCTAACACTAACTCTAAATATTAACGCTCTAGTACTATAATAGTTTCATAGTCAATAGCTAAATACAATTCAATAAATAAATACAGAATAATCAAAAAAAATAACGCTTCGCTTTGGCTGTCGCCTCCGCTATGCTTTTTTAGCCTAAAACATGAGATTAACAGTATTAATTAGGTTCTTACCCTAACCCTAAATATGAATGCTCTAAGACTATAATAATTTCACAGTCAATAGCTGAATACAATTCAATAAATAAATACAGAATGATAAAAAAAAATAATGCTTCACTTCAGCTGTCACCTCTGCTACACTTTTTTAATCTAAAATATCAGGTTAACAGTTTTTATTAGGTTCTTACCCTAACCCTAAATATGAATGCTCTAAGACTATAATAGTTTCACAGTCAATAGCTGATTACAATTCAATAAATAAATACAGAATGATAAAAAAAAATAACACTTCACTTCAGCTGTCGCCTCTACTACGCTTTTTTAACCTAAAACATCAGGTTAACAGTTTTTATTAGGTCCTTACCCTAACCCTAAATATGAACACTCTTAAACTATAATGGTTTCACAGTATAAATGTAACATAGTTTAGTTGCAGTACCCAAATTTAAAACATATTTTTGCTTCATATTTTTAATGTAAACTAGTTTTGACACCTAATTTTGTATGCTTCTATCTACTTCTCTAAATAATAATATTTAGATAGAAGTGTACAAAATTTGTTCCAAAATCTCTGTATTATACCTAAATAGTGAAGTTCATCCTTTCAACTCCAATTCCATTAAGATAAATTTGGCTAAATTTATACATCCATAAGAATTATTCAATTCTACAGATATTTGATAGTATCTGGATGCCTTATTCAAAAGTATTTTCATAACCAAGCATTAGTATTCTCTTAAAATTTCCCATATTTGCTAATTTTTTACAAACAGTAAAACTCAATTGATCTAATGCGTTAGTAATTATAAGTTGCTATCAATAGAAATCAGGTCAGGCCGATTTATTAAATAAATCTGCTTTGCACTAACTCATATTCTAGAAATAAAGTAAAAAAAACTTAGAGAAGGAAAAACAAACAAAAAATTAGGTTAAACAAATAAAAATATTAGATGTCAATTTCTCTAATACTTAACTATACAAAATGCTAACCTAAATTAAAATCTACAAATATATAAATTAGTAAGATAATACATTATATGATTTCCAAATCAGTTATATACATGCATTTTTTTTTAACAAGCCAATTACTAAATAAGATAAATCAACTCCAAAGAGTCTAAACTAGAGTTTTGCTAAGTGCCAAGATGGTACTATATTAAAACATAATGCTTATACCAGGCACTATGTTTTAAATTTAGTACTGTCCTAGCACTTGCAAAACCCTATCTACCCGCTTCTAATTATTTTCTTTATCATGCTGATCACTTTATTCAGGACAATTTCTTGAATCATGATACCAAAACTTACACTTAGCACATTGTCTTTTATTTTTCTTCTTTTCTTTTGAAGGTTGATTTTCAATAGCTGACAAGTATCTTTTATTTGTAGGTTGGCCTTTCCCTTTGTGCTGAATCGGATCTGTGATATTATTAATATTATTAGAATCTTCAGAAGATTCTGTAGACATTTTATTTTGCTTTTAATAAATTGTTGTAAAAGCTCTTCAAAAGCTTCGCTAGAATTGTTTAAGATCACCAAATTTAAAGCCTTTTTGCATAACTCAATACCACGGCCATATATTTCTTTTTTTGAATCTAAATTTATAAAAGATTTATTGAATATCTCTTGTCCACGAATATTATTTAATGTTTTAAATGTGCTGGTTTAAAATTCAGTTTCAACTTGAATTAGTGTAATTGATTTTTCTTGAACTTCTTCTCTTAACAAAAGTCCTTCTTTCGAATATCATCTGGAGGGCACAAGTTTAATATTAAACTGTGCTTTTTTTGATTGAAGCATCATGGCAAAAAAATGCCTACAAACAAATTCTGCGTAAACTAAATAAAGACAAGTGCAGTAATGTGTACTATCATTGAATATGACCACATACTGAGATTTATTTGTAATAGTTTGAAGATGCTTAACCTCCTATATTTCACTCAAAACATCCTCTAAACAATCCTCCAAAGCCATGTTAATTAAAATTTGAGGTTCTTCATAATCATCCTCGAGAAACCCTTCGTTATACTGATCTGAATTCTGCATTGTTATACTAATATCCTTAAGTTCATTTATCCGAACTCTATACAACAGGCTTTCCATCATTTGCTTCCGTTGCAGTGCTAGCGAATTTGGTGTAAGATATTTTTTTAATATTTCATCTATCGAATTAGAAATAGTATTAGAGACCCGGAAGATTCCAGTAGTAGGGTTCATATTCCAAAATTCTTGCTATCGTGAATATTTGGCTTCATCTTTTAGTCTTAATTCAACTCTGAACTGGAGTTGGCATAATGAATTTCCTGAATTTGCCTCTAATTTTATAACCTTATTCAAACTCTCTACGTGTTGGGTTGAATGTGTATTGGCTGAAAAGCTATATTTGGTAAATGCATAAGCTCAGCATGTTTTGGTCAGATACAATACACGTTCAAAATATTTTTGAACTTCTGGGTATTTATTAATTAAATTTGTCCAACAGCATTCAAAAGCTGTACTGGTAAGT